ATGCTTCCATCATTTTAATTGGCTAAATGTCACAGATAAACACTTTTGTCACAAAGTAAATCTAGAATATGTTGGATTCAAGGTAGTATATGCTAACAATCTTTTTTGTCTAACACTATTTTCTCTAGGATTTTTCACCATTTCTGATTTCCCCCCAAATACAATTATTACTCTTTTTCTGATCATTTTAAATTTTCTTAATATTTTTTTCATTTTTTATAGCTGACTGCCTTCTGATATTACATATTTGTCCTACTCTCTGAATTGTTTTATCATATAGCTAGGTCTTTATTCCTTGGTATTCTATAGAGCAAGAAAAGAATACTGGTAATGTAAATAACAAAAACAAAGTACTTATTTTCCCTGGAATATAATAACAATTCCATAAAGCCTATATGGAATTTCTTTTCTAAATATTTTTCCAAAAAAAGTGATGTAAATGTTTTGCATCCAAGAGCTATATTTGTTGAGATGTCTTACATATTGTATTTGCTATTTGCTAATAGCTATTGCTATTGTATTAGCAATACAATAAATATTGTATTGCTAGAGTTAATGAAGTTGCAATCAAACTTGCAAACATTAACAGTCTTTAAAGCTAAATTAATTTTGGACAGATCCATTGCTTAACAAATTATGGCTAGAAACTCCCAGTAAAATGATTTGCTAAGCAACCTACATACTTCATTTTCCAACTTTGCATTTTAAATATATAGCAGTAAATGCTCATGATGTTTTGAGTAATCTTCCAAGAATGATATTATTGTTGAGCTATAACTAAGTAATTAAATTTGATTTGTATCTACACTAGTTAATTAACCTTAGCATTTTCCAGAACAGTCAAGCTAATGTTAGACCTTGAAACACCAAACAACATTTTTTAACAATTAATACCACGAAACTAGCATCATTAAAGAACAAACATTAGTAGCACTTCAAATTTTTGGATGTCTCCTTCCTAACCACAAATGAAATTAGCATATTCTTCATTCATTTTTTATTAGCTGTTAACATTAGACAGAATTCCCTGTTGAAAGTCAAGATTAGCTAGCATGGGTTTAGTATTTCTCATTGATTGTGTTTATACAAAAGCATGTGCTAATTGTTAATTATATCAATCTAATGAGTGTTTGCATTGCAATTTTCAAATGTTTTGCTGAGAATAAATTTTATTTGAGACCACAAGCAGCACTTACCACTTAATGGTATTTTCCTAAAACATGGATTTTGATCTTTAAAAGGGTCAAGTTGAAATAATTCAACTCATTCATATAAAAGTATGAATGAAGACAGACATGCTTATTTTATAAATTTAAATGACTTTTTCTACACTAAAACTGAAGTCAAAGATTAGGAATCTATCTTATTCTTGAAAACAGTGAATCAATAAATTTGACTGCATTTCAATCTCCCTCCCTGATCAAACTGAACTCTATTTCTACCTTGGTTAATGACTTAATTATATATATTGTAAATCCAGGCTTTTCCAGGAATTGCTTTAAGATGCTGTGTAAAGCATCATAAATTCTGGCTTCATGCACATCATTAAACAAACCAAAAAAAAAAAAGATTTTAAAAACTATCTAATAAAGTTGTTCAGTTCAGTTGTTCAGTCGTGTCCAACCCCATGGACTGGAGCACGCCAGGCTTCCCTGTCCATCACCAACTCCTGGAGCCTACTCAAACTCATGCCCACTGAGTCGGTGATGCCATCCAACCATCTCATCCTCTGCCCTCCCCTTATCTCCCGCCTTCAATTTTTCCCAGAATCAGGGTCTTTCCAAATGAGTCAGTTCTTCACATCAGGTGGTCAAAGTATTGGAGTTTCAGCTGTAGCATCAGTCCTTCCAATGAATATTCAGGACTTATTTCCTTGAGGATGGATTGGTTGGATCTCCTTGCAGTCCAGGAGACTCTCAAGAGTCTTCTCCAACACCACAGTTCAAAAGTATCAATTCTTTGGCACTCANCAGCTTAAACATCTGGAAGTTCATGGTTTACATACTGTTGAAGCCTGGCTTGGAGAATTTTGAGCATTACTTTGCTAGTGTGTGAGATGAGTACAATTGTGCGGTAGTTTCAGCATTCTTTATCACTGTCTTTCTTTGGGATTTGAATGAAAACTGATCTTTTCCAGTCCTGTGGCCACTGCTGAGTTTTCCAGATTTGCTGGCATATTGATTGCAGCACTTTCACAGCATCATCTTTTAGGATTTGAAATAGCTCAACTGGAATTCCATCACTGGACAGACCTTTGTTGACAAAGTAATGTCTCTGCTTTTTAATATGCTGTCTAGGTTGGTCATAACTTTTCTTCCAAGAAGCAAGTGTCTTTTAATTTCATGGCTGCAGTCACCATCTGCAGTAATTTTAAAGCTGAGGAGTGTCCATAGTCCATTCATGTATTTTAGGTTTTTGAGAATGTCATCTCTCAAGATTACCTTTGTAATTGGATGAAATATAAATTCATTTTAAAAGATAAAAACTGACTGTGTCTACATACTTCACCTAGACTGCATGATGCCAAACTCTTTTTAACTTGGATCTGACTGTATGGACCTGACATTGGAAACAACTACCAGAGGGAAAACAATCCATAAAAATAAAAAAATAATAAGGGATCTTTGATAATATTATGTTTTCCCAGATGCATTTTGTTTGAATCTTTGGTGCCTAGATTAAGGCTAAGTACCAGTCACTGCAACAAATTTATTCAAGCAATAGACCTATTAACTATCTTCAAACCTTACCAGTAGTAAAACTCTATAACACTAAGATGAAAATTACTTAAAATTTCAGAAAGAAGAAAAAATGCAGGGATGTACTTTCATTACACTTATAAATAACATGTTTTGTCATTACTAAAAGTTCATATTTCAACTTACCACATAAAAGATAGGAAGAATTTTATAGAACTAGGAATGGCTATTCATCTCGAATACTCCTAAGAACACATACACAGAGATGCTGATAATTCCACTGATTCTTACCAGTTTTCACAAGATATCTAAATTTCTAAAGCTGAAATTTGGCAATATTCCTTCCATAGCAAGAATTAAATCAATTTAATGGCATAGGGTGAATGTTTGAAATAGAGCTTGACAGACTAAATTTTACCATCAAACCACTGTCTCTTTTCTCCTTCTTCTACTACACTCTGCCCAAAAGAAATTTATGTATGCTTTGGCAGAAGTCCTGAACACCAGACTAAACAGGGAAAGCTGCCTCTCAAACAAGTACAGAGCCATTATTCTCAAGAGAAAACAATATTGCATTTTTTGAGAAAACATCCTAAGTAAAATGAGTAAACAAAACAAAATACCTATTTGGTCATATTTAAGAGCTACTCTTGTGAATTCATTTAATAACATGCAGTATTCCTTTAATAATATGCAATAGCACTTGTAATCCATGTAGAAGTATATCTAATACAAGAGGGTTCAATAATTGAAATGATTATGAAATGTAATGAGCAAGAATTCCCAGCAAAGAAATAAAGTTTATGTACTAATGTGGGCAGGACCATAATCAATACAGGCTTTTGGGAAAATCCGTCTTTGGGTGTGCAGGATATTCATTTCCTATTACCATCTTTCAGTAAAGTATCTGTCCCAACAAAACATGTCTCACTAAGTGGAATGTTAACAGCATAAGAACCAATGTAAAATAGATACTGACCAAAAGTTCTCCCCACACACACATGCAAGGAAGGCTATTACAACCTCTCTTAGATTTCACTGTGACAGTACACTGATTACCCATCTCTATAAATACAATGTCAAGAGGTGAAAGACCTTGGGAGGCTCTTTTAGGAAAATTTGTTTCCTCTGCCCCTCCCCGATCCTTATATTTATTTTCTCTATACCTATTGTATAAGAAATTTCATCTTGAAGAGAATGCACCTGCGATGTCACATGCCATTAACAAGAGTTAACCATTTTGATAACAAACTATATTTCATATTGTTTATCCTGAAATTCCTAAGTTATCAATGATCCCATCAACATAATCATTCATTTGAAAATATTCAAATGACTTAACATGAATGTTTCACTGCAGATATTATAAACAGTTCCTTTTCTTTCATCCTTGCAGTTTGGATATTACTGAGTCATATTTTCTGGTTTGCTTCTGGTGGGTGCAATGCCCCTGGCCTTAGGCAAGGAAGGAGGAAAAGCTCTCTAAACATCATCTGCCAATGGAGGAATCATCACAGAATTAGATATTCTGTGTTACAGTGTTGGCAAATATCACTGTGAAGTGTCGATAGGAAAACTTAATTGTTTTCCACTTCTTTTCTCTGACCTGCTCCTTGTCATTTCAGACACTCAGAATCTTACTTCTCTCACCATCCCTATGCCAGTGGGGTAAAAGGGTTTGATTAACCATGTAAAGTAAAATCAGACTAGAACTAAAAAAGAACTTTATGAATTCTCCCCATTGGCATCAAACTGAAAAGGCAGGATTGGTCATTAAGTTATAATTAAGCATTAGCATTTCAGCAGAAACATTTTACCATCACAAAAACAGTGTCTGAGAAAAGAAGCAAAAATCATTTCAGCCAACTCTGGTAGCCAGGAAATTATTTTTGGGCTTTCCCAATTTGTACTCAGTAATGAAGTTAGGACATAACATGACTTTTAGATATTCCCTTTCTGTGTGTCTGTTACATGATCAAGATAGAATACAAGTTTTTCAACCGATCATTAAGTGCATAAATTCTGTCAGAAGACTCATTTCATCATGATCTATAAATGTACTTAAAAACTGCAAAAACATAAAAGTAAAAAGAAAATCACATTAGGATCTTGACATATATAGTATATTGATCAGTGGCACATAAGCTAGAAGCTGGGATATTTTGACAGTTTGAAAGTGGTTCTGTATAGTAACCAATCCATTCTTTCTTCACCATTTAGTTTTTAAAAAACACACACATGTTCACACAACCACAAACGCACTCAACCACACACACATAGGTATTAAAAAAAAGAACTTACACAATTTCGTCATTCTGGAACTCGAGCTCTCCACATGTGTCCTCAAAGTCTTCTCCTCCGCCTCTGGCGGTCCCCTCAATGGTCTTATAGGGAACGATAACATTTCCACGTGCTCCAGATGTCCTCAGTACTTTCACCTCCATGATGCCAATGCTCTCACTCACATGAGTCACAGGTTCCTCAAAAGTAAAGATGCCGGCGTGGTCATCATCAAAAATAGTCACGGTGGCAGTGGAGGGAGATCCCAGGCAAGCAAGGGTAGAGACATGACTGGCTTCCAGGATGCCATCTTCCGAGGCTTCCAAAGATACTTTGACGTTGCTGAGATGCACAAGGAAATTCTCATCCTCCTCGAAGATGTCATCATCAATGATGCCAACTCTGATTTCCTTCTGGGTCTCACCAGGCTTGAAGACCACAGTTCCCTCGGTAAATTCGTAATCAGAACCAGCGTTGGCTGTGCCGTCCTCTGTTCTGAAGTCAACAAACACAGTGTTGGTCAAATCACCACCTCTGCGGATAATGGTCAGGGCTACCGTGCCACAGTTCTCCAGACACTGATACGTCCCTTGTTCAAAGAAGATCTTACTGACAGGGTCATTTTCAGCCACTTCCGTGTTGACCTCGTGCATGCTGACAGCTTTCCTGGCTTGGTCTGCTGCATGCCTTTTTAAAATGTTGCCTGCTCCAGTCATCAGGCGGGTAGCTTGAATGCGGTAAAATGCTCGACTTTTTTGCTGCTGACTTAAGACTTGGTAATTGGCTAATTCTATTAATTGCTCTATTTCCTTCTCTGGATGCTTCTGCTTGAGTTCCTTCAGAATCCTTGCCATTTCTCGCCTGGCTTCTTCATCATCTTGGTCCCTCTCATCAACCTCCAGAACCAGGGCCCCATCTAAGAAACTGTCAACATGGGAATTGACCACTTTCCCATCCATTTCAATTTCTGTCTTGGAAGATGGCCTGTCTCCTTCGTGTTCAATAATCATTCCCCTCTGCTTGCCAGCCCGATACCTCTTGTAGACATACTTGTAAAACAGAAGCCTCCGGTCTGCCACCCAAGCAAACACAACGCAGATGGGGAAGAAGAAGAAAGTAAGCAAACCTTCCCAGACCTCCACGACCCCGGGAGAGCTGACAGACAAAATGATGTAAAGCCAGGTATAGGCAAAGATGCTCCATGCTGCTGTCACAAAGAACACACGCAAATGCTTGATCTTCCTTGTCTCCCCATCTGGGACGACATATACACAAAGCGCAATGATGATGAACATGTTGAATGCAGCACTCCCTACAATGGTGCTAGGACCAAGGTCTCCTGCAGTGAAGTTATGGCCACACACCTCAATTACTGAAAGGAGGATCTCTGGAGCTGAAGATCCCAGGGCCATCAAGGTCAGGTTGGACACTGTCTCATTCCAGATCCTCACAGTTGTCTTGGTGGTCTCTCCATTGGGTTTCTTTATGGTGATTTCTTTCTCTTGAGACGTGATGACTTCTATAGAAGACATGAACCGGTCAGCAATGATCGAGACGCCAAGAAACATGTAGACCATGGCCACAAAATACACAGTCGCTCTAGCAATTTTGTCCCCAAAGGAAGGGTCCTGGGGCTCCCAAATGGGTAAAATCACCCCCTTCTTACAGTAATAGGAGCCAGTACACTCGCCAGTCTCATTGCCTTCTCCTTCCATTTCTGTCTCAGCACTTATATGGTCCACGTGGGAAAACACTAGGGCCACCATGGCTAACACATGAAATCCCATCGACAAGGTGGGTGACAGACTGAACTGCAGCATGCTGGACAATGGCAGAGTTCCAACTGTCCCAACCTACTGGGGAGAATAAGAAAGGGGGAGGGTGGGGGAAAAAAATCACATCATTAGATCCAGACCCAAAGCACTCAAGTGACCCAATTCTTTGTATTACATTTACCAATGATTTGTTTATATTTGACTATCACAACATCTATGGTGAATCATGACTGTAAGAATCCATCTGTGATAAAGCAATCCTTGGTAATGTTTACAGCCCAATCTCTCCACTTGTGGATTTTCTACATGTAGCCCCATTTACTGAGCAATGAGCAATGTACACAGCTGACTTACTGGAATAAAACGTTCAATTATATCCTTGCCTTGTTGAACACACATGCATGCATACTGACAGCCAATGAGAAAAAACACACGGTTTTGACGCATTAAATAATTTTCTCCTTGTTGCTAAGGCAGATTTTCTTTTAAACTGTGGTTAACACAGCCACCTTCCAAAAACGGTTTCATTGCCAAAATCACATTAAGAGCAATGCTATGAAGTTCAGACTCTAAAAATCCTGCAAATGCATGACTTGGTGATGATCTTAAATTCTGGGGCACAGTTTACACTGTATTTAATGCAATTGTGTCCTGTGGCTCATGAGGGTCACCTGGACTGCAAGATCAAACCAGTCAATTATAAATGAAATCAACCCTGAATATTCATTGGAAGGACTGATGCTGAAGCACCAATACTTTGGTCACCTGATGTGAAGAGCTGACTCACTGGAAAAGACCCTGATGCTGGGAAAGACTGAGGACAAAAGAAGAAGAGTGCAGTAGAGGATGAGATGGTTGGACGGCATCATAGACTCAATGGACATGAATCTGAGCAAACACTGAGAAATAGTGAAAGACAGGGAAGCCTAGCATGCTGCAGTCCATAGGGTCGCAAAGAGTCGGACATGACTTCGCAACTGAACAACAACAAACTTATGGATCTTAGAACCAGAGAAATCTTCCAGCTTGCCTACAATCAAAGCTCAATGGTATTTGCACTTGAGGGAGGAAAAAAATCTGTTGTAAGGCAATATTTCCACACATTAAGTATAGTTTTTAAAAGCATGTTTTGATGAGAGCACATTTCCTCCTAATTTTCAGCAAGACCAGGTCTACTGATGCATTAGCAGCTGGGCATCTGGTTCTTTGAGCACTGCTCTTCATATCTGTGTACAGATCTCATTCTAGGATCTGCAGGCTGCCCATGGCAGGAAAGGGAGATGAGCAGGCCCAGGTCTAGGTGTGTGTCTTGCCCAGGTTGTGCCTGACAGGCTGTGAAATCAGCATTACCAGCCATAAAATGTTCCTTCTCTGTGTCAATGTCAGACTTCTCATGGCCATTCTAAAATACACATCAGTTCTATAGAGGGCTCAAGTGACCTAAAAATACAAGGGCAATAATTCCAACTAAATTAGCTCATGTGGCAAAATGACAGTGACCAAAAGTACCTATGGGGTTAGAGGGCCTTAGGCAACTGGGGAAATGGCAATAGCATCACTGGTGGGAATCCAGGTTCACGGAGGCTCCAACTACCACTCTGATCAGGTAATCAAGGTTTGTGCCTCTCAGTGACCTTGTATCACCTCTGATTCCAAGGTTTTGGTGATGGTGAGTGGGGTGGGGGACAATGAAGCAAAGAAGGATCTGCTGCAAGTCAGGGTGACTCTGGTCTGGAAAGCCAGTTTTAACATCCAATGATGTAGGGACAAGAAGGGTCCCAAGTCAGGTCTTAGTCCTGTGGCCTGACATAAAGTTAAACGTAGAGCTGGGTTAGACCCCTTCGTGGCCTCAGGGTATCTGAGTCACTCCCACATTTACCTACTCTCTCTACCCTAGGCTTATTGCTGATGGCTTATATTGAAAACTGCACCAGGACCCAGGAGAACCCCTACCTGACCCAGCACATTCTGGCATCACCTAAAGCACCCCTCCTCCCCTTTTTAAAGCTCATCACTACAGGGAGATAAGCTTTGACATTTTCCTCACACTAAAGAAGACACAGCAGAGGGCTGTGGTGCTCAAACTCCATTCTAAGTAAAAGGTCGAAAGACAGAAGAAACATATTTTCAAAATATGCAGAAGATCATGGTCCGTGTGTCTACTTGTTCAGTCATGACTGGGCTTGAGTAGGTTATAGGATCTCTTCTTAAAACAAGGTAACCCTGAATCATCCCTGGAGGAACCGTGGCAGATTTAGTTCTAACTCCCTTGCAGCAATTTATTCCACAGGTTTATGAGAGCTGCCCAGAAAAATTTTAGGACATGATGAGCTCTCTTCTAGGTCCTGAGAATTCATCAGTGAATTTGTTTTAAAGTCTCTATCTTTGCAGACCTTATATTCTAATAGGGAGGAAACAAACAAACAAATATAAATGTCAGGTGGCTAAAAGTACTGTAATGGTGGGGGGTAGGGAGCAATTTCAATAGGACGGGAAGTCTTTATGTTACAGTGCCTGTGCCAGGCTGTGTGTGTCGGCATGTGCATACACATGAAATGCATGATTTTATAATGGGCAGTTTAAAGAATGCCTCACTGATAAGGTGCCATTTGAGCAAAGTCCTGAAGGAAGAAAAGGCCCAAGCTTTGTGGATACTTGCAGGAGGAGAATTTCACGTTAGGTACAAAGACCTTGATAAGAATTGTGCTTTGCATAGTCTAGGGACCAGGAAGAAATCTGGGTGGTGAAAGAGCAGTGATGGAAAGAAGCAGGACTCAGGAGCTAGAAACAGTAGGGACGGATCACGAGGGGCACTGAGGCCACTGTAAGACATCGGCATTGACTGTGAAGGAGATGGGAATCACAGGGAGATCCCAATCAGAAGTGTGGTATGAGTTGATTTATCTTTTAAAATGATCTCTCTGCTGGTTCACTGAAGAACAGACTATAAGGGCAAGAGAAGAAAAAAGGAAGCCAGCATTTGCCTCTGATTAAAAAAAATGTCTGATCAAGGCAATGATCCTGATGCCTTGCAGGTATATAAAATTATACAGTAAAGATCTAAAGTTTAAAAGGGTGAAATAAACATTTGCAGTGATCCTTTTGGAAGATCTGTAACTTAAAACATTTTGGTAACCTGTAAGGATCAGAAGAGTTGACTCATTGGAAAAGATCCTGATGCTGGGAGGGATTGGGGGCAGAAGAAGGAGACGACAGAGGATGAGATGGCTGGATGGTGTCATCGACTGGATGGGCATGAGTTTGAGTAAACTCCAGGAGTTGGTGATGGACAGGGAGGCCTGGCGTGCTGCGATTCATGGGGTCACAAAGAGTCGGACACAACTGAGCAACTGAACTGAACTGAAGGATCAGAAAGGCTAAGAATTTGCTCAGAGGGAATAGGACAGAACGCACAGAGCCCACCTGAACAGACAAAGCTGCGCCTGTCTCCAGGGCGGATAGGATGAACCACTCCCTTGAAATTGCTGCCAAGGCTCATCATTCCATCCCTCACATCTCGGCCAAAACAAACCTCCCAAAATGCAGATCACACTCTCTCACTCCCCTTAAAACTCTTCATGGCCTACTGCCCTGATGACAAATGCAAACCCCCTCAATAGGCTATTTAGCCCTTTCCGGATCTGGCCTTTGAGTTCTAAAATATGGGAATTCTCTCAATTTCCTGAACATAACAGCACTTTCTTACCTCCAGGTCTTTGCGTATTGTGCTTTCTGTGCCCTGAACTATTTTCCTTCTTTGAAGCACGTTTCAAAATGATACCACAGCAAATCACAAATCACAGCTGATTGCCTGAGATGGTAATCCCAGTTTCCATTATTAAACACTGTCCCAGACACCATGCTAAATTTTTTCATCTATCTATATCTAATTATTATATATAATACTTCCAGGAACCAGCACTGCCCTGTTATACAACTCCTAATGTTGCCGTTTGCATTAGAGTCTGTGTGAATAGCACCCCTAGCAATATACTATAAGCCTGTTTGTAGATGGGAAGACTGCGGTTCAGACCGGTTACATACTTGCTGAAAGTCAGACAGTAACTAAGATTCAAAGCCCGGTCTGTCTCTGAGACTGATGCAATTCCCTGTTCCATGCTACCACACCTGAGAGTGTATACAGTGATCTTTTGAGAATGATTGGATTTGGGCTTGGACTAGCTCAGTGGAAAACCTCTTGGCTTCTATGTGGGGTTAGGTAGCAAAAGTCCCATGAAAGGTTTCCAACAACCCTAGTTCTACCTTGCGGATGGCAGACTGACACAGACAGATACCCACAGCTGGGAAGTAACCTGTGGGCTGAAATGTTCCTGGAGACAACGGGCTCCCACTCTCCCACCTTTTAGCAATCACCTGGCAACCTCTTTTACACATACTCTCAGGGCAATCTCTTCAGTCTGCCAAGAAGAAGCCCTGCCCCAACCAACATCTCCCAATATGCTCCCAGCCCAAAGGGTATCAATTATCAATGTCTAAGGGTGGACAGAGCAGTTAAAAAAAAAAATCCATCATCGCTTTTATATACAAAGGAGGGGACTTCTGAGATTAATTCAAAAATGTCACAATTATAGTCAAAAGGTGGTTTCACAGTAGTCTAATTTGCGAGGTCAGTGGACCAAAAAAACACTGCTATAGCTTATTGGTCGTGAAGCAACTGGAAAGAACTCTCTGGACTTTAGTTTCTTTCTTTATTAAATTAACACCAAATCCAAATGCTTGTGAGGATATGGGGTTTCTTTACCACTGAGCTACCAGTGAAGCCCTGAGGATGTGGGTTAGGTGTCATCAAAAAATGAGTCCTTCTTCATTTTTTTTCCTCCATGTTTTGTCTCCATTCTGATGCCTCAGTCATCAGATGCGAACAGATCTGACTCTTGCCACTGTCTCCTCAAATATTCATTTCTATGAAAATTAAGCAGCAAATAGTAGCTGTTGATGTATTAGTCTGCTGCCTGACCTTCTAATCTTTCACCCTGATCTACTGAACTCTGAACAAGGGGTAGTCTGATCTTCACAGTGGTTTCAGATAAGCCCTTACATCCAGGGCCAGTTCTTACTTA